TCCTCCCCGCCCCTATATGTGTCCATCCCCCCTATCGTACGTACACTCAAAATAAATTTAACCCTAAATTTTAGAAAATCGCCATTAAAATTTCTTTTTTCTAAATACAAGAAAGTTATTTCTAAATCTAAGGAAATTTTTCTTAAGTCAAGAAAGTTTTCCTTAAATCCAGGAAGTTTTTCTTAAATGTAGAAAATGGTTACCATGAACTAAAATCACCCTAAAATCTAGAAAAAAAGCCCTTAAAATTAGAAATTATTTTCTGAAAAATAGAAAGGCAAACGAAAATAATAAAATATATTGGCAACACCTTTTCTAAAAATGAGTGTCCTAGCCCTAAAATTAAGCTAACCCTAAATAATAGAAACATTTCCTAAAAAGTAGAAAGTTTTTCTAAAAAATAGAAATAGTTGTTTTCACATGCTCTGGCACACCAAAATGTTCAATGCCAGAACTTGTCAGCTGCCGGCCAGCTGTACTCGTGGCGCAGACCGTTAAAGCACTTGGTGTAGCAATCGAATCGACGCGGGTTCGAGTCCCAGAGCAAAATTTTTAACTTTTTTTTTTTAATGTTATTTTATTTTTTTTAATTTATTTTATTTTATTTTTATTTATTTTTTTACTTTTTTTTATTCCTTTTTTTATTGATGGCAAGCAGTAAACTAAAAATAATTAGGTTTATATTCAGTTATTTACTATATACTACACATAATATAAATTGCATTAGCATAAATATATACATATGTATATACGTATGTAAATAAGTAAAACGCGAATGGTCAAAATTATGCAATTAGTATTCAAATGTGTTGTCCGCTTCACCCTTTACACTAACATTGCTCGGTTTGCCACAGCAAGTTTAAGTGCTACAATGGCCCAGTATGTAGGCCATTCGCTCCTCGCGCGGGAGACCCGGTTTCGATTCTCACGACGGACAAGTAAAAAATTGTAAGTTTTTTAAAAGAACATAAAATATTAACTAATCATAATTTCTACATTCCCAATCTTCCGCAGTCCCGTAGTCCACATTTACAACCACATTTGGCTTTGGTTAGATAAGAAATCCAAGCGCAAATACATAATAATAAATACATAACCTTTAACATTCACAATATACAAGACACACAACGCATGCATATGTATATAGGGAGGAGTACATAAAATAAACGTATATACAAAAAAAAATCATGATTGAACATGTTTTTTTGTTTTGTTTTTAATTTCTATTTTTTAGGAAAATTTCCTACTTTTTAGAAATTGTTGCCCTTAAATTTAGTAAAATTACCCTAAAATTTAGAAATATGACGTCAAAAAAAATCAAAAATATAGAAAAATTTGACCCTAAAATTTAGGGCGAGCTTGTCTTGAAGACAAAAGTAGGGCGATTTCCTTGACTTTAGGGTTAATTTTATTTTGAGTGTACCATCTCCATATACCCACGTCACTCAACTCTTTTTAAGCGGGCATAATTTAACAGCCTTTCTGCTTTTTTCGCATCGCGTTTGTCAACTGAACGCTGGACGCAAGGACCCCTTTGGATATTGCTGGTAATCCACTTGGACAACAACAACAGCAGCGACAACATCGCGGGTTTTGACCATGGGGTTCGAAAATGTACTCCAAAGGGGCCCTGCTGGCCTGAATACCCTGCAGCCAGTCGGTGAAATTAAATCCCTTTCGGGTTCCCAATTATTCGGGCAAGTGAACGGCTAAAGGAATTCTTTGGGATACACTCAATAAAAAGTAAATATATTACACATATTTTATTGCTTTCATCATAATATAGTAATGCTATATGTAATTATTAAGTTTAGCTTTTTTACTTATTTATGAAAATGAGGTGTATAAATATCCGTTATTAAATACTTATTTTAAATACAGTTTTAACCCACTCTTTTATAACATTACCATAAAAGCTGCATTTAATTCAATATACTTTTTGCATATCATATTTTCTGGCAGAAACTTTCATGATTTGCATATAAAGGCAACGACTCTCTTACTTAGCATAAAACAACTTTTAAGAGACTTGAAGCCTGTGGACTTCACTTCCTGGTTTCTCATAGGGTATATGTTAAAATTTGACTGACAACGCGACACATGAGACAACCTCATATCCTCAGACTGAGGCACGGCGCCATTGTCACGTTTCAACATTTAAATTAAAATGTTTCGGTTAAAGGACGGCTGCGAAACTTTCCTTGCGTTCAGCGACTGGCAAAACCGCAGTGAACAAAAAATCTCAGGCATATCCATTTAAATATGGCCCAGCAACAAGAAACAAAAACAAAAAAAAAACGAACGGAGAGAAACGCTTAAAAAATGCCTTGGTTGCGCTTTTTTCGCTGGCCGCTGTCTTTTGCAGTTGGCGGTGCTTGTTTGGCGTTCTGCACTTGAGAGCCGCCTGGTTGTTTGTGTTGTTCTTGTTGCTGCGAACGGGAATGGTGGTGGAAGGGGGTAGAAGGGGGTGGCCATCCACCATCCACTATCCGCCATTGCCAGTGGCAGCTTCGTTTTGACCAGCTCCATTGCCGTCGCCTGCACTCGTCTTCATTTATTCAATGCCGCATCGGCTTTGGGCCACACGGCGTATGCGTGCTCTGCAAAATTCCATACAAGAAACTTTTCCGTTTCGAAAAGCAAAAAAAAAAAAACGGCTGCAAAAATGAACATTGAGGTGGCGCAAAACAAGCATTTTTTCCAGTTTACTAACAGCTTGAGCTTAAAGTGTTGGGATGGATTTTTTGCAGATTAAAGCCGCGAAGGCGAAATGGCTGTCTTAGCAATCCAATGCTATTTACAAAGTGGGATAACCAATTTAGGAATATTAATTGATTTAATCCTTTATTTTTGCTATTTATTTTAAAATGATATGAGAAGGACTGGACTTAATTAGATGATCCTAAATATTTAATCAACATAACAATTAGAATTTGTTTCTTGTGAATTGGGAAAATATTTTATTTTCCTGAAATACTGAAATAATCATTATCCTGGTTTAAATAATGCTTTTCGTTCTCAAAAATCAATCACTTTACCTCCATTGGTGCCTTCTCAGTGAACCTTCCCCCTAAGTATCATCACCCTTGACTGCAGTGACCCTGTCGAATTATGCACTTTCATTAAGTAACTGCAATCATGCGAATAAAAATCCTTTCGAGAGCAATCTGTTAGCTTGGCTGGGTGCCTTAACCTTGTGTCTGGCTGAGCGTGGCTTAATGCACTTTAAATTGAGCTGAGCACCCCGGGCGAGGGGATTTGAATAGAAGAAGTGTAAATGGAAAATTATAATTAACATTGCCAGATGCCAGCATCTCGCCCCCTTCCAAAGCAGTCATCTCTTTAATTGCAATTTCGCTGGGCTGCAAGGTGAGCACATCTAACATTGCGCATACGCCATGTGTTTTCCATTAGTTGCCATAAATTATTGAAAATCAGGATTTATGCCCGAATTGTCACGTTCATGCGCCAAACTAGCACCTAGCCCAGCATTGTAATTGATTAATGCGAGTCTCTTGTTGGCATGTCCGAACCAGAAAAAAAGGGCCAACAAAATTTGCATATTTGAAATTATGACAATTACACGATATTGTCATTGTGCATATGCCGAATTTAGGGGTTGTGTGCAGATTTAAAGATTGTTTGGGGATATTTACACCGTATTATATGAATAAGAAAATATTTAAAGCATTATTATATTTTCTCCCCCTTAGTGACTTTAATTTCATTTCTTACTTGCTTTGTTTAATTTTTTTCTCGTACTTAATTTGATGGCAACATTTCCATTCAATTCGCTCGACATTTGCCTACACATATATTGCATTTCAGTGACAGGCCTTCTGTGCGTAGCAGCTGTCAGCTGCGAATGCGAATAAATTGTATTTTTCCTAACCAAATTCAATTACCTAATGATTTGTTTTACATGCAGCTTTTTGTTCGTTTCCCGAGAATACACAGACATTCAATGGCCAAAAGGAATGCCGACGAGAGGGAGCATCATTCAATTGCCGAAATTCGCACGCACGAACAGTGCTGCAAATTAGTCAGTGGCCATGTCTATATTGTACATATACATATATATGCAGTGAGTCTGACCACTCTGACCCAACATTTATTTGATTTGGTCAATATGACTGTTGCCAGTCTTGGCCTGTCGTTGTTGTTGATTGAGTGCATTTTATTCGGGGCGGCGGCTCTGACTCTTTCCACAAATATTGGCTTTCGATAACAAATGTTGCTTTGGCCAAAATAACTTAATTAATTTGAAATATATGTGACACATCAATCAATCAATTAAAAATCAGAATGGCCCGAGGCCTTATTATTTCTGGGGTTTTCTTAATAATTCCAATTCAATTTCCGTGTCATAATTTTCCTTTATTATTTTCCCATAGATAAACATGAATTCGCATTTAAAGCTTTTTAGTGTATTATGAGATTTGTCAATTAATCGCAAATTCAATTAATTTATTATGAGCTAATAATAATATAAATACAACGTCCAATTGAAAACTGTTTTCAATTAACTTTATGGTAAAGAGATTATGGCTTGTTATGTCCGAGTAATTTTATAGTCTAATGAATGGTGGATGATAAGGCTTTAGATTGTCTAGAAACTTACTATTTTTCCTCGAAAAAGTACTAAGATAACATGGTAGCCAAAAAGTTTTATGATAAAGTTCCTCACTAAACATTCCGATGCAAAGATTGGATTTCAGATAATGGATATTTTTGAACAGACCTTCACAATCCTAATTACGTGTGTGAATTAACGAATGGAGATTATTTGAGATGCGATCAGGGGAAATTTGAAGTGGTTTTCGCGAAGTGGTTGACGTTTTTGTCAGCTTAGCATTGATTGCGTTTGTCGGTTCTTAACTTTGTGATATTTACGGCCATATTTACAATCACTGGCCATAAAACACGTAATCTAAGCGATAAGTTGGCCATATAAGAGGGCACTACGCCTGTCCGAAATTTGGCATTACGTGCACTGAAACGTCGCGATGTGGAGCAATCGCTGCTCGATTTTAATCCTGGCGCTGCTGGCGGCCAGTAGTGTGGAAAAAGTATCGGGAAGATTGCCAAGAATCCTGCCGAAAACCTTGGCCGACGGCGATGAGGGTGTGACAGTACGCGGTGATTGTGAATTCAAGGTCAACGGTGACCTCAACGACCCGGCTCCTCTGTTTTCGCGTCACAATTCGTATGAAATAATAGTACCCGATCCCACGGACACAGTGCGTTTGCTGAATGGCGAGCTCTTGGATATGTTCTGCCCAGGTGTGGGCTTTGCAGCGCCCTTTGCGAATCGCTCGCAGGTGACGGCCACGTGTCTGCAGAACAAGTACTTCCTGGTCGACGATCTTATCTATCCATTTGCCAACTTTTCCTGCACCGCCTGGCCCATTTTTACAGCCCTGCGAACCGGCAAAGATTGCAATGGCGGCACAGATCTCGTCCAGGTGGGATTCGAGGTGGAGGACGGCGGCTTCCTGCAGTCCTACGAACTCTGTCACGATGCCGAGGCGGAGGCCACGCGATATGTTCACCATGTGCTCTACCCCTCGAGCTACGACTATCAGCACGGAGTGGCGCGACCGAGCTTCATCGAACTAGATTTCTACGGCGGAAGGGATGTGAATACGAAGTACACCCAGGTGCAGCAGAACATCACGATAAGCAATATACTGGGACTAGATGCCTCGCCGTATTTTAATTATAGCGATGATCGAATTTTGGCCCGCGGACATATGATAGCCAAAACGGATCAGATCTTTGGGGCCGCCCAGCACTCGACCTTCCTGTTCATCAATGTGGCGCCCCAGTGGCAGACCTTCAACGGCGGCAACTGGGAGCGGGTGGAGACGAGTGTTCGGAAATTCGTGGCCGATCGCAATCTTACCACCGATTGCTATACAGGCACCTGGGGTGTTTCCACCCTGCCCGATGTGGATGGAGTGGAGAAGGAGCTTTATCTCGACTTTGATGAGAACAACAATGGGTTGATTCCGGTGCCCAAGATATACTATCGTGTGGTGATCGATCGCTTTACTCGCGAGGGCATCGTCATAATTGGCATCAACAATCCCTACTTGACGTTGGAACAAATCCTCAAGGACTACATCGTGTGCCAGGACATTGGCCATCAGCTGAGCTGGCTAACTTGGTACAAGGAGGATCTGCACGAGGGCTATTCGTATGCCTGCACTGTGGAGGACTTTATCGAGGTGGTCAAGGATTTGCCGCTGGAAGGATCTGTATACTAATGGAGTTCTTGGCTTGGATGAGGTGACAACTGTGGAACCTTCAAGTACTACAACTACTGAGGAGCCGACATCAACCACAGAACCTTCAACTACACCTAGTTCCACCACTGTTTCTTCTACCACCGAGGAACCAAGCTCTTCAACTGTTTCTTCTACCACCGAAGAACCAAGCTCTTCAACTGTTTCTTCTACCACCGAAGAACCAAGCTCTTCTACTATTTCTTCTACCACCGAAGAACCAAGCTCTTCAACTGTTTCTTCTACAACTGAGGAACCAAGTTCTTCAACTGCTTCTTCTACCACCGAAGAACCGAGCTCTTCATCGTCTTCCACCACTTCAAATCCTCCTGTCACCACACCCTCACCCATTGCAAATCCCTGCAAGTTTAGCATAAATGGTGATCTCAAGGACCCTGCTCCACTGCTAACGCCACAAGGAGCCCTTAGCTGGCTGCTGCCCGATGAAAGTGGTGTTTACACAGTAGAAGAAGGTTCCTCCATCGATCTGCATTGCACTGGAGCTCTGGTATCGCCCTTCAATAGGTTTACCGCATTAACAGCTCGTTGTTTGGGTGATCAGTTGTACGAGGCTGAGGGACAGCGGGTGAATATCCGAGGATTCGTCTGCCAGAGTTGGCCCACCTATGTGGCACTCCGTTCCGGGGAATCATGCCCGGGTGGCACGGATCTGGTGCAGATTGGCTTTGATGTGGCCGCCGGTTTCCTAAGTCACGTGGAGCTCTGTTACGATCAGCAGGAGCAGATCTCGAAGTATGCTCGCTATGAACTGACCCCGGCCAATGTGGCATATCAAAGGGGAGTTGCTCAACCGGGTTATCTGCGAGGTGACTTCTACACCGGTGAGGATGTCAATGTTCTCTATAGTCAATCGCGTCAGGAGCAGGCATTTAGCTCTGCCTTAGGATTGGATGCCAGCCAGTACTTCGATAGCACTAAGGATCTCTACTTGACCAGGGGACAACTGGCCGGTCGCCTTGATTTCGTGCACAGTTCCGCCCAAAGGGCCACTCACTTCTACATCAATGCAGTTCCCCAGTGGCGAAGTATCAATATTGGAAATTGGTTAGCTGTAGAAACCAGTTTAAGACAATTTGTGGCTGATTCTGCTTTGAATGTGAGTGTGCATGCCGGCAGCTATGACATCTCCACTCTACCCAATTCCCAAGGAGTCCAAACTCCCCTCTACCTGAATGAGGAAACCAAACAGTTACCAGTGGCCAAGATACTCTATCGCATAGTTATCGATCAGGAAAGTCGTAAGGGAATTGTTCTGATAGTAGTAAACAATCCACACATTACCCTCGCTGAGATCTTGGCGGATTATGTGATCTGTGAGGATGTCGGTGCTCAGTTGGATTGGTTGGACTGGGATAAAACGAATCTGCAGAAGGGCTACTCGTATGCCTGCTCTGTGGAGGATTTCCTTCAGGTGGTCAAGGACCTGCCCACGGATCAACTGGAGACTACTGGAATTCTCGGTCTGAACAACCAGTCCTTGGAGAATGAGCTGTGCAGCTTTCAAGTGAACGGCGATCTCAAAGATCCGGCGCCTTTATTTGTGATCCGAAGTGAGTTGGGCCATGCCAGATATTTGGAACCCAATCACGAGGGCCTCGTGCAGCTGAAACATGGAGAAGCTCTGGAGTTCCATTGCATCAAGAATTTTACTGGACTCTTCTCCGGTTATACCTTTGTGAATTCCACTTGCTGGCAGCAACAGAGTTTCCTCTCTATGGGCAGTTTGTATGACCTGCAGGACTTTGTCTGCACCTCGTGGCCAACTTATACGGCTCGTCGGACTGGTCGTTCCTGTAATGGAGGTACTGATCTCCTGGAGGTGGGCTTCCAGCTCTCAGCCTTAGCATCCGATGACTTCCTGCAGACCTACGATGTCTGTCATAATGAAGAGACGGAGGTCACCCGCTATGTGCACCATGTTTTGTACCCTGGAAGTGCCCAGTATCAGCGATCTGTGTCCCGGCCGACCTTCATTCCCGGTGACTTTTACGGCGGCAAGGATGTGAACACCTTGTACACCCAGGTCCAGCAGAATATCACGGTTACCCAGATCCTGGGCACGGATGCCTCACCGTACTTTAATATCAGCGGTAATGTTTACCTGGCCCGCGGTCATCTGTCGGCTAAAACCGACTTTGTCTTCGGGGCCGCTCAACAGGCCTCCTTCTTCTTCGTGAACGCGGCTCCCCAGTGGCAGACCTTCAATGGTGGCAACTGGGAAAGGATCGAGGATAGTGTGCGGAAGTTTGTGGCCGATGAGAACATGACAGCGGATTGCTATACGGGCACCTGGGGTGTTTCCACCCTGCCCGATGTGGATGGGGTTGAGAAAGAGCTGTATCTGGACTTTGATGAGAACAACAATGGTTTGATCCCGGTGCCCAAGCTTTACTACCGCGTGGTTATCGATCGCTTGAGTAGAAAGGGCATCGTTTTACTCGGCGTAAACAATCCTCATGCTAAATTAGAGCAAATCGAAAGGGAGTACATTATTTGCGAGGATATTGGGGATCAGTTGAGTTGGGTCAGCTGGACGAAAGAGGATCTGAAGAGGGGCTATTCATATGCCTGCACTGTGGAAGACTTTATTGCCGTGGTAAAAGACCTGCCACTCGATGAACTGCAGGTTGAAGGAGTGCTGGGTGTTTAGGGCTAGAAAAAATACGAATTTCTTAATTTAAAACCAATAAAAATATTACCTAATCGCAATGTTGTTTTCCTGGCTTTAAAGCACGTTTAAATTTAGTTGTTATGGGCCATAAAAGTGAGAAATCACGTTTCGTTTTTGTTCTTTTTTCGGTTTTTATTGCATGTTGGACATACTGATAAAAGTAAGGTTATCAAATGCTCGGCGTTATCGTTTATGGCCCGAGCAGAGCTATTTATTTACCCTGCCATTGGGCTATTTGCTCACGTGCCGCACGTTTTCCACTGCCGGTGGATTTTCCTCCTCCTTTTGTTCCAGTGGCCCAAAAGGCGGTCCCTTGGCCCGAATCGAAGTCCCCATGGCAGTGACTTTCACATTACTTATCGACGCCAAGGAATTACCTTGTATTACTCGTGCGGTTTCTTTTGTTTATCTTATCGCAACGCAATCGTCCCAAAGCGTATGAAGTATACGCCCGGTTGGTTAATGATTATAATGGACTTTTTTGGGGGCGGTAAACAAAAGGTACAAAATATAAGAGATAGCACGCATGTCTTGATTTATATTTGTCGAGTAATCATTCGAGTACTTGGGATTAAAAAATGGGTTTTGTGACTATCTACCGTTGCCATAATTAATCAGTGATATCAAATATCAAGGCTGGAAATATTTATTAGTTTATTACCCAATGTTTATTTATGCCTTGAACTTCGTTTAGTTCAAAGACCGTTTGGGGATTAGTGTAATATTTATTTAGTAAACTTTAATTTAAACACTTCTGACTATTAAGCCTTAACTTTCAATTGTTATTTTAATTTTTATATTTCGGTGATTTAATTTTGCAAATAACAATTATCGCAGCTCTTCAAGCGTGAATTTTGAAATGATATAAATTCGACTGTGTTTTCAGTACGCAGTTTAGTTGATTTCACAATTTTTTAATCTACACAGCTGGATAATGAGGAAAATATTCGGAATACAACTGTTGTTGGCCATGATAGTCATTGCTCGAGGATACAGGAGTAAGTCGGTGATTCAGGATTAAGGAAATACCCATTAACATTACCCATTACCGATTTAGAATTTGGTCTTAACTGTGAGGATATAGCCTGTATAGCTGGTCAAAAATGCATTGTATCCAGAGTTCCCTGCGAAAGTCCAGATCAACGAGAGGGCGAGCAATGTGGAACTTATGCGGAGTGCAAAACAGGTTTGTTATCAGATTGATTAACAATGGATTTCACTATTCTCATTCACATCTGAAACCTGGCTCTTTTCACTGATCCGTTTCAGATCAGCTGGCCAGCGATTTCTCCATCGACACCACACTGACCATCGCCAACACCCGCAGTAGCATCATCATACCCAGCACTCACACGAATCGCAATGGGACTAGTTATAGGGATAATGACTTTGAGCTGCTGACCGACCTCGGCAATTCCGATAAATTCGCCACGCATTCGGGGCAACGGCAGGCGAATGTTTTGGTTATTGTTCAGGATGGCTCTCAACAGCCGCAGCAACCGAATCCTTGGCCAAATCGGCCACAAAGTCCTCCCTGTGCCGTCAGCCCTCTGTACCCATATTCCTGCAATTATCCGGGCTATACTCCCAATTCTGGAGCGGGATTACCCTCTTATCCGCAGGCGCGATCTAGGAATGGGCCACAATTGGTTCCGCCCACTCCGCCCTGCTATTACAACTGCTATCCCAGGGTGAGCTCAAGTCCGTACGGTCAATATGGATATCCCCTGGCTAGATCAGCAAATCCCTCATCGACCAATAATTACCTAATATACCTTACATTAGCTGGCTAAAAATGTAAAATCTCTGCAAAATTAAAAGAAAACCTATTCATTGAGCATCTAATTTTTTTTCTGTGTATTTAATAGCTCGCCAGCGCTTTCGGCGAAGGCCACAAATGTCCTATCAGCCAGTGGGATTGCCAGCTCAAATGCCACCGCGGTATCCACCACCACCACGTCCGCTTCCAATGCAGCAGCCCCGCCAAGCTATACCAGAATATAACCCACAATACCCGATTCAATATCAGGCCAACAATCCTATATGCCATGCAAGGACCTCCAAAATCATCCAATCCTCAGCTCTACTTCTCAGTAGGCATGTCCTATCCGTCGTATATGAATTACAATGAGCGCGCTACGGGGAAAGCTCCCACATCATTCTACAGTCCCTATCTACCCAACTATACCACCTATTATTACAATGTTAACTTACCTTTTTCGGGAGGTTCCTCCTGAGATCATTCAACTAGCATTTCTAATAGCATTATTTAAATATTATTAATTTCTTAGCTTTAATTTCTTGAATCTAATTATTTTTGTCATTTTAACATGTCAGCAAACGATGGTCAAACGTTGATAGATCTCGAGAATGATACTGAAACCACAATCGTAAAATTTCACAATCGATCGGTTCGACAGATTCCCATGTCCCCAATGCCCGGAGCAATGCCAATGCCAGGAGCGATGCCGATTCCTGGACCCATTCCCATGAATGTACCAGGGCGTCCGTATTATCCGCCTTATATGGGACAACAACAGTACATGGGGCCACCGATGGCTAGACCCATTCCCATGATGCCAATGATGCCCCAGGCGGGTCCAGGTATTCCGATGGGAGGAGGTGTTGGTGGTATGGGTGGGACTAGCATTATTGTCGAACCCCTGGTAATCCTACCGATGGGTATTGGTGGAGCAACCGGGTCGGGAGTTAATCCCAATCAATATTACGGGGCAAATGGTGCGTATCCCAGCTACAACAACTACAATCCCTACAACACGTACACTACAGCACGACCAAACTATGACTATAACAATTATAACAACAACAATAATAATAACAACAATAATTACAATAATAATACTGGTACTAACAACAATTACAACGATTACAACTCTTATGGTTAGACTGTTTGTATAATGAAAGTTTAAATAAATGTTCAATAAAACTAAAGTTTAATGTTTGATTTTATAATACCTAATTAGCTTAATGAATCGTTAAGTTCTGCCCTTTTTGGTGAATCACTATTTGATTAAGTTGAGTAAGCAAAATGTCAGAAATAATTGATGATCTTTATGCTGTAAATAGAATAAAATAAACGGGGTCTCGAGATAAATCTGAAATAAATCTCTTTTTATATATATCTCACAAAGAAAGTTGATCAAGATAAATAAAGAACTTCAAGTAACCTAGACCTGAATTCGTATACTCATCCGTATGCGAAGAATTCGGAAGCATTTTACACACATAATATAAAACAAACCAAGAAAATGTCAATACTTTTATCACCGCTTGTTTCTCGCTGAGAGTTGAAAACAAAAAGCAACAAAATTGTTTACTAAATGGAAAGAGAGGGCAGACAGCTTGACGCTGCCAAGAGAGAAATCAAGAGAACGGGCTGTGAATATAAAAACACTTGTTCACCAAAGCAAATTATTCAGTCGGCGGTTAGATAGAAAACTCAGCGGTCGAGTTGTGGTAAAAATGAAGCTTTTGTTAATCGGCCTGATTTTGGGGATCGTGATTCTGAGAGAGATTCGGGCACGTGAGGCGATCACCTCTGCTCCAGATGTGGGTCAAATCATCAAAGATCTCGATGGACTGCAAATCGATGGAGCGACATTTGAGCGAGGTAAGTGGACGTGCAAGTTAATAATAATATTTATATCCAAAGAGCGTGCATCGAAGAGAGCTAATATTGCTTTCACTCGATTGTAGAAGGCATTTTCGTAGAGCTTTTACACATTTCTAAATGAATTAAAGATTGATATTTAGGTACTTTTATTCTTAAGAGAAAAATTTGTCAAAATAGTATCTGCAAATTTAAAACATCTGCGTCAATAAACTATATTTCCAACTGTATTTACTTATGAACATTGTAAACTTTCTTTGAGTATGACTTTGAATAACTATTTCTTTAAAATATTGAAATATTCCATAATGAATGACAATATTTAGAAAATTTTTATTTATTTATTTATTGTCTGGTTAAAAGGAAATTTTAAATTGCCCATAGTCTTGGTGTTTTAAACTTAAGCTACGTTTGTGACGTATATATTGACATTTTTACATTTACAATATTTAGAAAATATTTGTATTATTATAATATTTTTATTATATCAAGGCATATTTTTTAAAAAAAAAACTTGTATTGCTTTTTTCATACCAACAATACAATATAATAATTAGTTAATCGATACCCAGAGGCATTAAGACACCATGAATGATAACATTTTGACGCCAAAAAGTATGCCAATGAAAGCAGTACACACCTAAACACTTGCCTGCCATTTCAGGAGCTCCCTGCCGAGTGGACGTGCAAAAGGACCTGCCCCGCCCCGACCAGGCGCAGCCCCTGTACCTTCGCCCCGGCACGGATCTCTACTGGCTGCCCAATGCCGATGGACACCTGGAGATTCCCCGCGGCGCCAGCATCGAGCTGCACTGCAGCAGCCAGTCCTTTGCCCCCTTGAACGGCGAGTCCTTGGATGCGGAACTCCGGTCGCTTCGGGTGAAGTGTGTGCAGGACAACACCTTCGAGTGGCAGGGGGCGAAAATCAAATTGCGCGACTTGGTCTGCAGTCACTCCATTCCCTACACCGTGGAGCGTTTGGACAGGCGCTGTGCGGATGGCGATGTCACCTCGAGTCCCAGCACCTCGTTCCTGTATCGAGTGGGCTACGACACCGGAGATGGCAGATTTGTGGCCACCATGGAGCTGTGCCACGACCCGAATCACCTGCGCACCCACTACGCGCGCCATCAGCTGACGCCGGCCAGTGTGCACTTTCAGAAAAACGTGAAACGCCTGAAGTTCAGCCCCGCCGGCCATTTCGCGGGCTTTGACATGGCCAGGATTTATTCGCACAAGAGCCAGGAGAAACTGATGGCCCCGCTCGGCCTCATCGACGTGAAGAGCGGGTTGTTCCTGGCCCGCGGTCATCTGGCCGCCAAGGCGGACCTCATCTATGCCAGTCAGCAGAGGAGCAGCTTTAACTACATGAACGTGGCGCCCCAGTGGCAGAGCTTCAATGGGGGTCAGTGGGCCGTCCTGGAGGACCACACCCGGCGATATGTGGCCAGCTCGGGAATCTCGGCGAGCGTGTATACGGGCACCTATGGCGAAATGAAGTTGGCCGGCAGCAAAAGCCTTCACCTGACCACCGATGCCAATAACAACGGGGTGTTGGCCGTTCCCCAGCTCTTCTATCGCGTCCTCATCGACGATGGCCATCCGACCCGCGGAATCGCTTTGCTGGGTGTCAACAATCCGCACGCCACCCTCGCCCAGATCCACGAGTCCTATATCATCTGCGATCCCGTCGAGGAGCAGGTGGAGTGGCTCGGCTGGATGCACAAAAGCAACGCCAAGGGTAACCTGAAGAAGGGCTATCTGTATGCCTGCTCGGTGGCGGATTTGGCCCGGGCTGTCGGAGAGCTGCCACGCCCCCTTCTCCAGGTGGACGAGCTGCTCGGTTAGATAGGGGCGTTGCCCATTCCGGCAGGGGTTTACTTTTAAGTGAGTGCAATAAAGACTGAGTGGAGTGCGTGTCAAAGCTTCAATGTTTCACTGTATAAATTTAAAGCATTGCTTAGAAATTTTTAACTTTAAAAAGAAAAAAAAAATACAAAAAAAAATATCTTTATGAATATATTTACCAAAAAGTTTAAGCTTGAAGCACGGAATTTCATTTACAATTATTTATTTCAATTAAATACAAAAACGAATTACTTAATACAATTTCATTTAAAAACATTTCTTGTATGTCAATATATTTCACAACAAGTTTGAGCTTGAAGAACGGAATTTCATTTACAATTATTTATTTCAATTAAATACAAAAACGTATTACTTAATACAATTTAATTTTAGAGCATTTCAATCAAGGTAGAAAATAGTAGATAAGAAGTTTATCATATTTATGTAAACATTTTACATCATTAAAAAATAATTTCAAATTAATATTATGGCTTTTAGCCTTTTAAATTGTTAAATATTTATATATCTATGTTTAATACTGATAAAAAAAACAATGGCTTATTAACCAAGCGAAAAATATTTGAATTAAATATGATATTGATTTGCCAGCTGCGTTGTAAAGAATACGGAATACTTTAAAAGAGAAAGTGGATAAAAAATATAAAAAAGAAAAAGTAAAAAAGTTTATTTAAAATAATGTGTTTTTCTGTACATTTAAATATCAGATTATGTTCAAATTAGTTTTAAATATCTTAATACTACCAGACTTTAAATGGCTAAAGAAACCGCCTTCAGATTTCATAAATCAAACAAGTTAATTTCCATTAATTTCGTCCTTGCCCATTCTTCTTGGATTCATTTGTGCCGGTTCCGTGTGTGTTCAGATTATTAACGCTCGTGTGAGCTTAACGCCATCAAAATCAAATGGGACATCGTGTGTGGTCATGTCGGGGGCGGGGCCACACCCACTCGGGAGCTCGAATCGGAAATGCTATACCCTCGTTATGCGTTTGCCTTGTTGGCGGCAGCGCAAAATCGGTGGAAGAAACGAGGATATCAAATACGGCTCGGCTGCATTACCTTCATGGCGCTCACAAAACACAATTTGTTCCACAACATTGATTTAATCCTTTTTCTTCTGGGCCACGCACACACACAACACAGCACAACGCGACAGTGAACGACACAAAAAGGCTGCCGTGAAGAATTTTCTTAAATTTTCCGCTGGGTTTTTCATGGCATTTCCCGTCGTGGAGCTGTGTCCTTGGCATTATCATGAATATTTCCCCCTCCATTCTGTGCTTTCGATACATTTCCATTTGCTGATTTGAAGCGCACTTTCCACTTGGCTCCCGTGCTCCGCCCCTGCTCCTTTACGCTTTTCCGTTTTTCCGATTTTCCGTTTTCCGCTCGCTTAGGTCAGAGTCGGCATTTGGAAAGGGGCAAGCTGAAATTATGTTTTTATGCTGTCTTGTGCGGTAAGCAATATTTGCTCAAGTATCCCTTACAGACTGGTGGACAGTAATCATCAAATGGGGCACACAATGTTGAAAAATTTCTGGTTTGGCTTTCAAGAAAACAAGATGTGGGAAATTACGAGAAATACCACAACTTGTTTAAAATGTAATTAGTTTCTTTAAATTAATTTAAATTTAGGTATTAAGGCAACATCAGAAGTAAGTTAGGTTCGTATTTTAAATTATGATAAAAAAGTTAAAAAAATACTTAAAAATATATATTAATATATAACTATTTTTGAACAATTTATTATTAACAATATCAAGTTCTTTATAAAACATTAAGTGAAGGTTAATAAAATACACCAAAAATGCCACTCAAATCCCTCAAAAACTAACCAATTAAAAACTGATTTCTATGAAAATAAATTGCCACCAAAAGAAAAACAATGAAAACTCAAACGTCGCTCAAATTTCCTGGAAATTGAATGCCCTTTTGCTAGCTGCCAAACATTTGTAGCAATTGTATACCGCTTTAGGATACGGAATGGAGTGCAGCACAAAGTCCAAAGTCCAGACGACTTTCCTTTAGTGGCAATAACATTTCCCTTGAAATTGGGAGAAAAAAACAGAATACAACAAATTGCTCTGCTGCTGCTGTTTGTTTCGTTTCTTTCACTGACTTGATGAAAGTTTATCCGCTCCATGGAGATGGCGAGCTGGCAGCCAAGAGGAGCAAGGATACAAGCGACCAACGGAAAAAAGTCGAATAATTGAACGCACTTCACGCAGATGTTGTCGGGATTCTTTTTTATGTCATTGCCGGCGGTGGCTGCCAGAAGGATATGTTGAGTCCTGTGGCCTCCAGCGGAAATTATAATTTATATTTGGGTTTTCGCTCGGCCTCTGTGTACATTTTAATATCACCACCTCCTGGTTGGAGGCCAGCTCCAGCCGGCTCCTTTTTTATTTTGATTAAAATGCATATTAAATATTTGGCAAGCAAACAGAAAGTAAAAACAACAGAAATGTATCAAATAAAATGATAAAAAAAAGTAGCAATACGCATAAAAAAAATAATATAAATAATTTCCTGCTGCCGTCTGAATTTATTTCCCGCTGCGGGTCTTGCTTCCTTCCGTCCTGGCGATAAACTACATACATACATTGAGCTACGACCTGACCCGAACTTGCTGCAAATCCTTGCAAGGGTATAAAAAATAAACAAACAATGAAAATGTTCCCCTGCTTTTTGGGTTTATTTACATGTGCGTAAAGGCTGATGGGATTGGGGATTGGGGACACAGGACCTACAGGAAGCTGTAAACGTTTTGATTTATATTGGAAATTGAGGTTCCTTTGACCGCCCCTTTTTTTGGGGCTTTGTTTCTTTAATCGATGTGTGATGAGGGGCCGCAATGTTTATTATAGATTAATGCAAAATAAATAATTGGCATGGCTGATTTATGGGATATATATTAAATTCTTTCCTTCAAACTCTATTTCCTTGTAGTCCGCGTTCAAATTGGATTTTTATATCCTCAATTTGAGCAACAATTTTGTTCTCTTTGACCAGCTCTCCTTTGGCCTGGCATAAAAAGCGAAACAACGAGCAGAAGTGAATAAAATACGTGCACACAATGCAAATGAAATAAGAGGAAAATATGAAAATTGGAGAATGCAGGAATGTAGAAAGGAGGAGGGAGAGGAAATTCCGTTTCATTTTACTGGAAATTACAGTGGGGAATGTGCCCGGCAAGACAAGACGACGTTGACATCCAATATCCTTATTGTTGGCCAGCGGAATTTATGGCTAACAAAGTCGTTAAGTAGGCTAAAGTGTGTGGCTTGCAGTGGATTCTCATTCTGCTACTGCCACTCGGCGACTGCGACTGCAAGTGAGTGGAAAATGGGCAAGTCAGGGTCGGAGCATCGCAACTTGAAGCTAATGAGGTCATCAACGTCCCCTCCGGCCACAAAATCCCGGCCCGCATCCGCATCTACATCACCGTCGTGGTTGCGAAATTGAATTTTGAGTACTGCCAAAGTGCGGCCAGGTAGTCCCCTGATTGAGGTGTTTGATTAATGGGGACTGTTCCTGACCCCCTCCCCCTGTCGTGTCCAAAAGCCCGGATCCGAAACTTGTTAGTTGGTCAGCCAGAGCCACTAGCGACTGGTAAGCTCGAGATCTGATTTCCATTCCCATTACAGGAGCAGAACTGCAGTCATGGTTGCAGCAAATTGGAGCAGTAGCTTTTGCATTCTCTAATTTCATTCGATTTTCTAGGCCGTCCTATCGGTTGTCTCATGCTAACATTTTTTACGACTTTAAGGTAGATTTTACTACACCCAAAAACACCGTTTAAGTATTAAGCAATGATTTAAAACGATTTCTCGTCCGGATGTTAAATTTAAAGTACGGATAAAACCTGGAAAATTCTTGATTTAAAGCCTACTGTAAATGTAATATCCGGACATGAAAACGGTCCTATGTATTATTAATTTCATACTAAATATTAAAAAGTGGTTTATAATATAATGTGGTTTATATTTCGTAGTTTCAGTTCTTTATTGATTATTGATGCAAATTTGATACTCAATAGTGAAGATATAGTGTAAACATTAGTTTCGTTTCAATAAGTTTTATTTTTACCCTTCCAATTTATTTTTCCCATATCTAATCTAGCTAATTACATTTTTGAGATAGTTCTCAGTAACTTGGCAATAATAAAAGATGCAATACTTTCCCCATCACTGGACCCACGATGGTCGAAAGTTTCGAGCTGCCTTCACCTAAAATTCTATTATTCTCTTGTTTATGGTTCGACTTTAAAGGCTGAGGCTGGGCCACTCGACCGAAAGACGCCAGAGGATCAGGATGTGGAGCAGGAAGGAACAGGAAGAGGATGGGCAAATAAATTGGTTTCTGGCATAAAGGCATAAAACCATTAGATGCCAACCTACACACACACACACACAGGAAGGGTGCTCCGGCCAGGCTCACAGCCGCAATTTGAATATGTGCGAATATTTATGTATAGCTGCCTCCATCTGAAAACATTTCATAACCCTAACCGTAAAAAGCAACGATAATGTCGTACCTTACTGGCTGTCGTCGCCAGGTGAGATCAAAGGGTTTGCCATTGTCCTCGCTGGCGTAAAGTCGCCTGAAAGTTTATGAATTCGCTTAAAGTAAAATGTTAATTAAGCAAAAATCAATGAAAGATATGCTAAGCCCTTAAAATGTTAGAATCAGGAACCGTAAATAACAGTTATTTGTGATTTTTATTTTAAAAAGACTACTGTGATATTTGGTTTTAAACGTAAAAAATAACGTTCTTTTTACCCTTGTCCACAAAGTATGTGCATAAAAACCAGTTAAATTGTTGATTAAAACTTGTACAAATCTCAGTAGGCCTTTTAAAATAGAAATCACAAATAACTGTTAGGTTCCTGATTTTAACGGTTACATTTTCATTGATTTTGCCCTGAGCTTAAATTTTTTTTTTATCTACTAAACATAATCATATCTAATATATTTTTTATCAAACAAACAGCTCAACGACAAAATTCATGAGCTCATTTACTTGAACATTTTTGAAAAGGGCATACCTAATTACAGTCCCTTTAAAATAAAATATATTAAAAACAAACGATTCATTTTTGAACATTTACTTTTACTTGAAATGAATCTTTTCATTTGTTTAATATTATTTTTTATGGCTTTAAATATTTTAAATTATTTCTTATAACCTTCTTGTACTATAAACTCAATTGTACCCTCTGGAAGGACATAAAAGGGCCATGTGCAAGTGAAATGATTGCGGGCAATCAAGTGGGACTTCGAGGGACCCGTAAGAACGGCGTAAAACACTGGCTGCTAAAATATGTAACAAGCCGCAGAACAACAACCGCCTGCCAAATGGGTTAACACTCACTTTTCCTACCTTACTCCGTGCTTGAGGAGCATTCGGCGCTGCGCTTTTTATCATCTTTCTGGCCCGCCCAAAAGTCCCGCCGTCTTGGCCACAATTGGCATGTCGGTGTGTGGTGCGGTTGCAGCCTGCAGCCATGTGGGCCACAAAAATGCGGTAAAAAGATTACCAAAAGCGATCGTGCTGCAAGACGGCGAAAGGAGCAACGGTGAGGCAACAACCGCTGGTGGGTTGGAAACGACTTTGCCATGCTAACCAAATTGTTATCATTCAGTTTCATTGTGGTGCTACTGCTCCTGCAAGTGGAGAACTTTAAGGCTAGGGAGCTCTGGGTAATTTGCATTTGAATCAGAGAAATGGCTCAGTCTCGCCATTTCTTCAATTGGGTGTGCCTTAAACGTATAAGTCAAAGCAATCCTTGAATTAACTGTGCTGAAAAAAAATTACCAATTAGAAAATCAGGATAAATATGGATAAATATTGTGAACTTATTTTGGAGCTAAACCAAAATTAATTTTAACTAGTTAAGATAGGCTACTTTAAACGCAGATATGAAAATTGCGATTGTATTTTTCTGTGTATATCATATAACTGATTAAATTTCATGATTTATTAAACGTGTTTGCATAATCCGATTAATACCGGAAAATTAATCAAATGCCTGTAATTGATTTGTTTGTTGTTGGCAATCGGATTAACCCAAAAATGTGCGCCAATAAAATGCCATTCATCTGATAATTCGGTGGGCACAGCAAGGAATTTTAAAGGCAGCCCCGAATGATTTACACTTCACGGTTCAATGAACTGGCCCTAGTTTTGAGGTTGGCCGAGGGAAACTGGGGTTTCCGAAGTGACAAAATAGGAAAACCGTTTGCCCGAGACACTTCAAGTGTAAATTTGATGGCCTCGAGGCGTCCGTACAAGTGCAATCAATGATAAATCTCAGCGCAACAATGCGAATGGGAAAGTATATATATAGGCCAAGCCACACATAGGCAAACAATATATAAATCTATATAGGATGTGTGAGCGGCTCTATCGCCCTCGAATTTTATCGCTTTCGTTACTGGAAATCAATTGAATTGAAGCGTTCACAAAGGAGATTCGAATGGATACGTTTGCCGGGGCAATCTTGAGGAGCGGATATAGGAAGTGAAAGCTCCGGTTGTTGGGGCTGGCAAACACCCTACAATGGGGTCATTAGAACGCTTTAAGGAGAACATTTCTCCTCGTAGTCCCACTCCCGTTCAGATTATCGCCCGGCTGACAAATTGCCGGCCAGACAAGGACTTCTGATGCCGCCAAATCCCCAACGGAGCAGACTTTAATTCTCAATGAAGTCCAAGGGGAATAAAAAATCCTGAAAACCCAGAAACATAAAAGCGAAAATGTATTTCAATCTATTTGGCACAGTCTATAGGTGGCGACGGCTGGCCCGAAAAGATTTATGGCTCGCTCTCGTTAAATGCTCTGTCAGGAGACAACAAACAAAAAGGGTTTAACTGATGGCAGGGATATGGTTATTTTTACTGAAAAGGGCGAAAGCAACAGTTGAATTATTCACGCAAATTCAACATGGAAGTATAAAGTGCAAGTCCTGAAGGCTTGAGATATAGACTTTATTTATATTTTTATATTGGTGCACTATGTGATCCAAATTCAGATACAAAGGCAGGATTTTCTAAAATCCTGTCATTTAGAATTAATTATAATGAATACAATAAGCTCGCTGGATAGAAGTGGACTACAAAAGAAACCACTTTATCTTCCAAGTTGTCAAGGACCAGTGTTGCCATTTGCCGAACACGGAATCCCACGAATAATGTGTATGTGACAGGAATATAAATTCATATAACAGCAACTGTGAGTACAAATTCAGGCAGAGCCACGCCCATTGCCGCCGGTGGGCGGAAGTATAACGAGCCGGGAGTCCCCTTCTCCCCTTCTCCCCGTCCCCGAGAATGAGACTCTAATGTGACATTTATAAGTGCCGGGCGACGGATGGGCGACGTTGCATGTGCCACACTGACGAGCTACGAGAATTACAAAGTGCATTTTTCATCATTCTCCCAGAAGGGCGAACAACTTGCACAACTATTTTTGAGATACTCATATCATGTTCTTGCTTTGGCACTTGAGTATGCGAAATTTTGCGACATACTTTTAAAGTTCTTTGAGCGGCAAAGTGTTCTCCACACGAAGGCAGGGAAATCTAGATCTCACGAAAATTAGGCTCAGCCCCAGCAATATGTATTATCTTTAATAACTCAAGACTCCAAATAAAAAGTTTAGCCAATTACTTTATAATCTCATGCTTGAGAAAATCACTTACTGCTAGCAACGTTATCCATTTAATTACATTTTATCATCACAACATAAGTGAGTTGTAACATTTTGTTGAAGGTAAAAACAGTTATATATTAAAAGGGGAGGTTCTGCCTTAGAAAGTGTCACTTTCGAATAATATAAAATAAAAAAACTGCTGCATATTATTGCCTTTCATCTTATTTATAACTAGTTTTTTCGACACAGACTGTAAAACAGATAAAATTTAATGTAAGTGATATAAATATGGATTAAATATCTAAAAAGATTATTTTAAAAATTAATTAAAGTATTTACACATAACCTTATAAATATGTTTCTTATGATCTATTTATCTACTATCAAAGCTGGCAGGCCTTCTGTGATTTCCTTTGCCCCAGCTTTTCTTAGTTTAATAGCATCGCCCAGAATCTTTGTATTCACATTACCCATGGCAATTCGAAGAAGTTTTAGATCTTTACAGTTTGCAATGATTGGCAGCAGCGAATTGGAAATATCCAGAGGGCAGGACATCGAGAGACATAGTTCCTCCAAATTTGCGAGACTGGCCAGCATTTCCACGCACTCTGTTGTTGAGAAAAAACATTTAAAGTGCTTCAGGCTCTGGATTCGAACCACCTGGCAGGTCTCCTGAAGAGTGAGGCTTCCCCCGTCTATGGACAGGTGTGTCAATTGCGATTTGACCGCCAGAGCCGAAAGAAGTGGCTCAAAGGAGCCGCTTCTGCGAATTCCGAAGTAAGAGAGTTCCTTGAGCTTGGGAAGCATGGCAAGTGGCAGATATTCAGCAGAATTCGACGACATGCCGAACTTGAGAACCTCCAGGTTTTTACAATGCGGCACTATATCTCTCAAGTTCTTCTGAACACAGGCATAGCCGAGATGAAGGCTGCTCAGATTGCCATTGGATTTGCAGGACTTCACGAGGGTTGCAAGTGGAATTTTTGGTACGAGGATCTGCAGATCTTCGAGGTGCCGCAGTTGACTCAGGCGATCCAGGCTACAGTCTGTAAGAAATGAGAAGTATTAGTTATAAAGAAGTTTCAGTTTTATAATTAATTTTTTTTTACCATCTATAGCATGAATTTCCAGTCTCTTTCAGTTTCAGTAAATGTCTTATGGCATTTAGGATTTGATCGAAGGGTTTTAAAATGGGTGTGATCAGAAAATACATCTGTTTCACCACCAATTGCTCCAACGAAATCATGCCAGTCAAAGTCTGACAAAGAATAGCAAAGCAGTTTTCAGGCGCTATACATCCATAGTTCCGAAAGCATCGGGCCGTATTGAAGTGATCCAAATCGATGGTCAGGGACGTTACCAATTCCCGGCAGGTGCAAAATTTTATCAGATCTATCCGCGAACTGTCTTTATCGAGGGTATATTCGCTGTATTTACTACCGCACTGATTGACAAAAAACTGACGAAATCTTTGGCACACTTGGGCGAAAGTAATGCGATCTTCAGTGGGTAAATACTCAAATATATAGTATAGGCGGTCATCGTGGAGCTGTTCGATATTTGTGGCACTCATTTTCGAAGCGTTCGGAATAAAACTGAAATTAAAATCCCCCTTTTAATCGTACGCCTCCACAAGACACGTCGGAACTTTTAGTTATGAGTAAGATTGTGTTATTTCCCTCAGATTAGATACGTACTCGTCAGCAATTGGCTGGAAAGCCAGTTTGCCGGGTATACTTAAACTTGACCTGGGGCAATATGTGCATTGTTGAAGGCAGTGAAAGCTGCGTCAGCTGATTTGCAAGTTTTGAGCTTTGTGCTTATTGGCGCCATCAAGCGGTTAGATCGGTTAGCTCGAATAAGCTTAATAAATTGATTATTTTAGCATTCCAGTTCTTAAAGTCTTTTTGAAAAGATTATTCAACAAAAAATGTTTAATTTATAAAAATTTTGCAGTATTTTCGGATTAATTTGGTACAGAAAATATAGCACACACAAAATGTGTTTTCAATCTAGATCATCACTTTAAGAATTTATCTTAACTCCTATCTCCTGCCCTAGAGTTCACCTTCTTGTCTAGATTTTGCGATTTTTTCGTTTTTTTGTAGGATGAAGCCGTTGACTGTCGGTCTTGGGTGGTTGAATGGCCAGGATGTGGAGACTGGATCGCAGGTGAGAACTTTTCACCATTTCTTGGCCGGCTATGCGTTTCATGGCGATGTAGTTTCCGCAAAGTTTCGGTAGAAATATCTCCGATTCGAGGGGTGGGCACTCGACGAGCACCAAGCTGCCGTTTGAGATTAGCTTGAGGGAAAACTGCCGGCAGCTGGATTCTTCTTCCGCGGCTCTCGTGAATGGACCCCCGTCGATTGAAGCATCCCAGGGGGCCAGACCATCCGTCGCCGTCGTCACTCGCCGCCGAATCTGAGGGCGCTGGATGATCTGACCTTGACCCTGGGTTGCTTCCTCGCAAAATCCGTGTTTTCGAATCGGCCGACGACTACGTATAATGTTCTCCAGAACGATGCCAGCCTGGTGCATCTCGGGTAGAAAGATCTCCGACTCGTGACCCGGGGCCTCCACGAGAACCACGCATTTGTCGGACAGCAGTTGAATGTGGAAGTTTGTCATGGCTTTGCAAGAATTATCAGAATAAACATACGGGTTAACCGAAATTTCGGACTACAAAATTAAATTGTTTAGTTAGTATTTAGAAGTTTTATTTGAATTGTTTTTCTAGGAAGCAACTGAGCACTCCCTAAATCGAATATCAAAACAGAGTTCAAATTTATACTTATTTATAGCAATGTTATTCTTTATATTCGCAAACTTTGAATTTTTCAATATGTCCTTAAGGTAAGCCAGTTGAACGAGAACAATGATTATTTGGGTATCAGAATCGATCACAATATTCGATTCTAAGTCTTTTGGAGTAACCGATTCGTTAGGATCCATAACTTGCCATAGATCATCTTCAATATTGAGCTCGACCTTCACTTCAAGCTCCCTTAGCTCTCTGATTTTGGTCAAGAGTTGTATATTATGAACAATAGAGGGAATCTGTGACAGCAAGGAACCCAGCAAAGAAATAGCTGCTATTTTTGCAATTCGCTCAGGACTATTTATATTTGTAATCCTGGAAAGGCTTTGTTTAAGCTTTTCTTTTTCGAGCAATATTGGGCTTAGTCCATTTTTGAAACAAGAATGCCACTCATTCAACTTAATAATAATGTTTTTGTCCATTTCTTTTTTGATAAAAAGTCCGATATTACCCATACTGTTCAAAATATCAAAGCTGTAAAAGTGTAGGATGCTGTCCCCCTTTGGCTCCATTCCCAAGCTTAAGGGAAGAATATTCGGCAAATCAATTGGACTAAGAGATGCTGATGACCGAGTGGGCTTTAGTTCGCAGCTTATTCTGTCAATAGAGCATACTTTTGATAGTTCCTCGATTTCTTCCGATCCAAGCTTTGCTTCCTGGATTCTAAGTGCTAGTGAATCGTTTGAACGATTCACCACCATTGATCTAAACAGCGCCCTGAGTGAACCCTCTTCCGGGTAGCCGAAAATGTCAAATGTCTTTAGTTTCGGCAATTTGGCCAGTGGTGCGTATTCGCTGGCATTCGTTTCCGGTTTCATTTGAATGGTCAACGATTTCTAGATTGCTGCAGTATGGTGTAATATCCGCCAAATTGCCGTACATATTTGTGCTATGGAATGCAAGTTCGATAAGATTTGGATTCGATTTTACACATTCCATCAGATCATAGGCACTCATTGCCACATACAGGCTAAGACTCCGCAGGTTGTGAAAATGTTCTAGATTTCCTGCCGAGTAACCTATATTCAAAAAAAAAAGTTTTTACTTACATAAAAATATTATAAACAAACTAGCGATATAATTACTTGGCATTTGAAGGACTAGAGTTGTAAGTCCTCTCTTTTTTTTTAGAATTCTCATGGTGTTTTCAAATATTTCCATATGATCTGGACAGTAGAATTGTAAAGGAGGATTGTATTTCAGGAAGCATTGAGTAAGTCTCGAATTATCTTCGAGAAGTATGAAAACAGTATCCCAGAATGCTACCTTTTCAGATGAAGAGCAATTTTTTTGACTAATGTAGATTTCATAAAAGTTTACTGATATGATGGGAGTTCTCCATGAATTAAATTGCTCGACATTAAGTCGCAAGTATGGGTTTTTAATCCAGGTCCTAAAGTATGAATGGATATTATCAGCAGTATTAGCAAACAAAATCAAGTCCCTATATCGAACTATGTCTGGAATTACTCTTTTTTCTTTATCACAATTTTTTTTTATATGCCAAAAAATTAAAAATAGGCAATATTGGTTCAAGTTAATAATTTTTTTTTTTTTGTTTTTTTTGTTTTTTTTTTTTTTTTTTTTTTTTTTTTTTTTTTTTTTTTTTTTTTTTTTTTTTTTTTTTTTTTTTTTTTTTTTTTTTTTTTTTTTTTTTTTTTTTTTTTTTTTTTTTTTTTTTTTTTTTTTTTTTTTTTTTTTTTTTTTTTTTTTTTTTTTTTTTTTTTTTTTTTTTTTTTTTTTTTTTTTTTTTTTTTTTTTTTTTATTTTTTTTTTTTTTTTTTTTTTTTTTTTTTTTTTTTTTTTTTTTTTTTTTTTTTTTTTTTTTTTTTTTTTTTTTTTTTTTTTTTTTTTTTTTTTTTTTTTTTTTTTTTTTTTTTTTTTTTTTTTTTTTTTTTTTTTTTTTTTTTTTTTTTTTTTTTTTTTTTTTTTTTTTTTTTTTTTTTTTTTTTTTTTTTTTTTGTTTTTTTTTTTTTTTTTTTTTTTTTTTTTTTTTTTTTTTTTTTTTTTTTTTTTTTGGGGTGGTTTTTGTTTTTTTTTTTTTTTTTTGTTTTTTTTTTTTTTTCTTAAAAATTTTTTTTTTTTGGGTTAATTTTAAAAGCACTAAAAATGCTGCACAGTGTAATAGAAGTGTTAGTAATTTTTGAAATTTGTATTTCTTTTTTGGCCAGTGGTGCGTGCTTGCAGGCATCCGTTTCCGGTTTCTTTTGAGTGGTCAACGTTTCTAGATTTCGGCAGTTTGGTGTAGTATCTGCCAGTCTGCCGTACATATCTTTGCTTGTACATGCAAGTTCGATGAGGTTTGAATTCGATTTGAGACATTCCATCGCATCATAGGCACTTGTTGGCGCGTGAAGGCTAAGACTCTGCAAGTTGTGAACAATTTCCAGATTTCCCGCCGAATAACCTATGTAAAAAAAAAAGCGTTTACTTACATGCATATGTTAAAAACAAACTCTCCATATATTTACTTGGCATTTGAGGGACTAGATTTGTTTGGCATTTCTTTTCATTTAGAATTCGCATGGTACGTTCAAATATTTCCTTATGATCTGGACAGTAGAATTGTAAGTCAGGAGGATTGTAATTCAGGAAGCATTGCGTAAGTCTCGGGTTCTCTTCGAGAGCTATGAAAAGTATATACAAGAATGCTTCCTTTTCAACTAAGGTGCACTTCTTCTGACTAGTGTAGAGTTCATAAAAGTTAAGCGATATGATTCGACAGGTGGAATAAATCGAATAGATCGAATAAATTTTTTCGACTTTAAGTCTTATGTACAGGCTATAATTCCAGTTTCTAAACTTTGAATGTAAATTATCATGACTAATAGCAAACCAAATTAAATCCTTATATCGAACCATGTCTGGAATTCCTCTTATATCATTTTCACAATTTTTTTTTATTTCCTCAAAAATTGAATATAGGCAATCGTCGTTTAAATCAATAATAGATATGTTAGTCATTTTGATAGTTTGTATTTTTTTTTCCGAACCGCGTGAATTTATAAAAGTTTTCCAATGGAGGTTTTGTTGAAACTGTTTTTGCAAATCAATAATCTTTTCTTTGCTCAACGTATTATCAGGTCAAATAATCAGCTTTGATTAGATAAGATTATAAATACATTGAAAAGAATTGTGTTGTAATTTAAAATAAAATCTTTATTATTATTAATTGAAATGATTAACTGTCATGGGTAAGATTTTATTTTAAAATTTGTAGGTTACATTTATATACCAAATTTTATTTGCGCAACTGTGTGTATTTCAAGTTATTTTTTACAGGCAGAGAGAGAGGGAGAAAAACCCTAAGACCCAAACCATTAAAAAGCTTAAATTGAATTTTAATACCGTAGAGTAAAAGGGTATATTAGATTCAGTATATGTAACAGGTAGAAGGAAGCGTTTCCGACCCTATAAACAATATATTCTTGATCAGGATCACTAGCCGAGTCGATCAGCCATGTCCGTCTGTCCGTCTGTCCGTGTCCGTCGTCCGTTGTCCGTCTGTCGTCCGTCTGTCGTCATGAACGCGAGATCTCGGAAACTATAAAACAGAGATGACATTTGCATGCAGATTCAGGAGTTCCACGAGCCAGTTTGTTTAAGGGTGCCCGCCCCTACTTTTAAAATTTCGGAAAAAAAATGCAGTTTCTTGTCCAGGTGTATCAGACCCAAACCATGTATAAAAAAGTTTTAATATTGGATTTTCCATTCGTTAAAGTGGCGGATCAAAGTTTAACCCACGAGTTAAGCCAATTATCTCCTTCCTCCCCCTTTAGCTGAGTAACGGGTATCTGATAGTCGGGGCACTCGTTCTCTCTCTTGTTTATAATGTGCTGGTTGAACGACTTACCTTCAGGAACCGCGGTTGCCGTGTCCTTGCACACATCCTGGGCCCGCCTTTTTTTTACCAAGCTTTGGTCATAAAATGCCAGCACTAAAGGAGCTTGGGCTGGACCATTTAATAGTTGGGACCATAAATTCGCCTGCTCTGTTACACAATTAGGAGAAATGTTCGGGCTATTGGTTTCTGGTACATCGCTGATAGCTGGTTCGAGGTCTTCGCCTTTGTCTTGTCTTTTTATTGGTCTTACTTTCAGGCAAGTTGACGCAAATTGAGACCATTAAATCCGGCTGGTTAAATGAAAGGAAATGAGTAATCTAACCGTAGATAGGTAGGTTTATTTTACTGACTATGTATAACCCATTGAGGTTGTATGAATATTGCATTCTTGTTTTTGATGTGCTCGTTAGCAGATTGGTTTCGTGTTGCTGACATGATTTTGATTTTTACTTACCCACAAGGATGGATGTCAGTTTGCGCTTCAATGATCTGTCAGCGCTTGTCCCCTGTCCAAAAATGTGTGTAATTTAATCAGACGGAGGGCCAAGAAATAAAGTAGGCCTAATGTGCGAAAAGATGACAGGCAATGTGTTGTTAGTCCCTGCCGCAGGCCAAGACCCCTGATATTGTATTATGTTTTATCCCACTTTCATCCGTTTGTCTTGTCTCTGATGGGCGAATGAGAATACGGCATTTGCATAAGTAAGAAAGTGTGAAAGTGGCACTGGGCTCCTAACCCTGTTAGTGTTTTTTGTTTTTCTGAAAAGCCGTTTTTGCGCTTTTTGACAAATGACTTAAAGCCTTTGGGGCCAGCCAACGGGCTATGAAAAGGGTTCAAGTAATTTGTTGAGACTCTTGAATATTGAATGCGAATGTGGACCACGTGCAGGGACACAGCCGAATAAAAATGAAATATATTTTTGGCGAGCCAGCAAGCAAGCTGAAAAGAAATTGCGTTAACCGCCATGACACCAAATGCTTTATGTTCAAATATGGTGAGATAAAACACTTTATGGAATTTGGGCATTACGTAACACCATAAGATGTCCCATCAACATTTCATAAGCCATTTAATTTCCAATGACCTAGTGGGCTTTTTTTTGCCAAGAAGGATACAAAACTTAAGTAACTATTTTTCCTAAAAAAATGTTCTGTTTTATTTCAATGTTTATTTTTGTGAGAGAAAAATAAAAATTAAATTACTAAAAAAAAGAAAGCAAATAATAATTATGTGTGATATAAGTAGGAATCAAATAATATTTTTGAATTTAATAAATGAATTAAACAAAAAAAACTTTTGGCTTTTGCCCCAAGAAATGGTTCTTTATCCTACCACTTTAAATGTGGGCAGTACAGATGGTCAGAAAACGCTTAACCCGAATGAACGCACATCTGCCTTTCATGTGCGTGATGAAAATCCCCCAAATATGAGTTCAGATTGGCTTGCTCGTAATGCTTGTGCCCGAGCCGGGTTCCATCTCGGTTTTATTGCACCAACTTGCGGGGATGTGGAGGTGGATGTGGAGGTCCGCCCAAGAAAGCGGCGACGGAGGAGGTGGGCGTTTAATCCGGAAACTTATTTATGTATGCCTTTCCGGTCGTTTCCTTGCCCGACGCATTTCTCGCATGTGTAAGTTCGTTTATTGTCGCACAGACAATCGCACAAACAAGAGTGTTTGGCCGTGGGTGGGTGTATTCCATTCTTATGACACGCCCGCGCACACTTTCACTTTACATAAGCTCCGTGGCCGGGGGTCCTTTGAAGGACCGAAAACACTTGATAATTCCTTGCATACACGCACTTTGACTGCAAGACACTATTATCCAATGCCATCGCATATACACATGTATCCACAAGATACTCTACTTCCATTTATGTGCGCATTCTGCCCCTGGGCAACTCAAAGTTTCTTGTCTGCGGCTTTGAATTATTTAAAATTGTTTTCCCGCCCCAATCTTCTTGCGGGGATGCTGTATGATATATATTCATGGGAGGCGCAGATCGATGCGAATTATGCGAAATATAATATTTGTCTTGGTCTATAAATTTTGATTTACAATATGGCTTGCGGGCTCTCGTTTAGCTTTTAATCGTGCTTCGGGTTAAGTGAGTCGAAATTATGGCATTTTGGGTCGGCCATGACATTGATTTGCGATTCTTATCTGACACTCGGAAGACTTTAAATCCTAGGAATGTTTTATTAAATCTCTGCCTACGCAGTAAGATGGTTATATTAAAGAATTATATCTGTCAAGTTTTTGACTCACCTATTGACTATAGTAGTTTTAAAAAATCAAAAATAATAGTTCTAAACCCGTATAAATATTTATTATTTTCTAAACAAAAAAAGAAAAGGGGACGCAAAGGAGAGGGGGAAAACAAAGGGAAAGTGACAATTTATAAAGAAACTTAAGAAGGCCGATTGAAAAAATGATAGATAAAAAAAACATAACGAACAGAGACCCATAAAAAGGGGGGTTTGTGGGGGTGGGGGGGCGTGGCGCTCGGCTAAAATAAACGCGGAATAACTTTTTTTTGTAGTTTCTGAGATCTCAGCGTTCAACAGACACGCAGACGACAGAAGAGAAGACGGAAGTAACCCGCTAGACCTGATCAATAATATATATACTTTATGGGGTCGGAAACGCTTCCTTCTAGCTGTTACATACTTTTGCACGAATCTAGTATACCCTTTTACTCTACGAGTAACGGGTATAAATATTTATACTAAATGAATGTGTAAAAATTCTTAATCACTGACTATTACATTTAAAAATTAAATACTGATATTTACTTTATTTTATATTTTAATTAAATGTATACATTTACTTCTTTATATATAAAGAAGTATAACATTTTATCGAGGGGACATTCATATCCTTTTGGCCAGTGACATTGAGTCGTCGATTGCTTTGGTTTTTCTCAATTCGGTGCCTCGACCTCCTGCTGGGTTAATTTAATTAACGTGCAACGCAAAGAAATTACTTGCCGCTGCTCGATGAAAAGTTTTACAGTTGCGGCTGGCGGAGACCTTCGCGGAAAAGCCGTGCGAAAAGGAAAATGCCTGGCAGTCAGGCCATAGATCAAAGCACGCCTGCTGAGCACGGCTTTTCCGCTCTTTCCTTCTTGTATTTGTATAGGTGTTTCCTATGCGTGTGGGCTGTCAGCAGGTGTGCGAGTGTGTGCTTGTGTGTGTGCTGAGCCTTCTCGCTGCTATATAAAGTAGGTCAGTAGTAGAGCCGTGCCAATAAAAGTTAATGCTTCCAGGTGAGAGCTCGTGTGTGTGGGATGTGTGCGTCCTGGCCTGTTGATATTTTTTAATATTTATAGAATTTTAAAATGCCTGTTAAGAGTAGGTATTAAACATTTAAATTCGAAAACCAGCTGTAACCGTTTTTCAGCACGCTTTAAGTGACTTGTTTCAACACTATTTATTGCAAGCAATAAAAATAAAATATGACTTTGGAAGTTCCACTTGTGCGACTTACAAAAATTCATCATATTACTTTTTTACTTTATTAACTATTTCTCCATTTTTAACCACAGTGTACGCTATCTTTATTGTGGTAAAGATAGGGTCTGTAAAATTGTCTATGATTAATTTTTCTTATCGTGCTAAGGCAAAAAAATTATTTGCCATTGCAATGTTACTTTTTCATATGCAGTTTTTAGAACTTATCTATTCCAAGAAAAGTAGTTGTTCAGAATGGTTGACACTAAAATTTTTCAACTCGACGATTATTGTCTTGAGATCATTTTGCAGTATGTGGACATTAAAGGAAGAATCAGTTTTGCGCATACCTGCTCAAGATTTCGAGATGTTTTTCTGGTCTGATCACGACGTGGATATGCGAATTTTTCTATTACTGGTTTTGTTAAGCCCCTGGAGCTAACGCTACTAAGCATTATTCCAAAAAGTGTAAGAACGCTAAATTTGTTTGCAGATGATCTGGTGGATTCATTTAACGATAATTACTCAAAGAAGAAAAGCCTTAATGTCATTTCGAAATTCTGCAAGCTTATCCAAAATATGGAACATCTGAAGTATGTAAAGTTAGTGCAGATACATCCTCACCCCATCATTAAACTTTTACTAAGAGCCCTGCAAGATTTACCGAATTTGAAGCAGCTTTCTATATGTGCACCGAGTGAGTTTTATAACAATGATGTACCCATACTTTTTAACCAATTTATTTCTTTTTTATGTAAAGGTCGAGAAAGCTTTGGAAAATTTAATCGGTTAGAGGTTATTTCCATAGATGTGGAAATCTCTCCGAGGGATTTACTGCAATACTGCCGATCTCTAACTAGATTGAGAACGCTTATTCTTTCTGAACAAGTGAGCAGCTCCAATCTTAGGGAAATATTAGAGCTTTTGCCAGACTTACAAGAACTGAGCTTCTACGTGGATCGCTTGAATAAATCGAAAAGGTCCCTGACAATCGTTTTGGATTACCTGGCCAGAAAAAGAGCACTGCAAGTGCTTAGAATCAAGGGGCCAATCGTTACTGAACATGAAGCCAAATCTCTGGTCAATATTAAATCACTTAAGGCCCTGGATTGCAGCTTTGATGACCCCGATTTGGTGAAATATCTTTCTGCGCTCACCTCTTTGCAGATCCTCAGAATTATGTTCCTCCACCCCATCAATATATCTTCGCATTATCTAGAAGTGATTCGACAGTGCAAAGATCTGCGGTTTTTACGCATCTTTGACTACAACATTACTCCTGACTTTGTTTGGAAAGCTTCTAAAGTACTGGAAGATATCAAGTCCAAAAATAATTTAGAACTCCTTATCCACAGCCGACATAACTCAATTTCGTTGGAGGAGTTCAAGTCGAAGGCCTTGGGCAGCACTAATCTGTTCTTCAGTCCTTTAACCATGAAATGGTAGGAAATAAATTTTACACAAATCGTCTACGAATCCAAGACTGAATTTTATTTGCTAAAGCGTTGCTTAAGCTAAATCACACAAATTATTATTTTTATAAAATATTTCTGGATAAGCTTATCGACTTGCTTTTCCTCAACCTAAAAATGGGCTACCTACACCGAAAAACAAAAAAAAAATCTTAAAAGAAAATGGTTTATTTATATTTTGCCCACCCATTTGTATAAAAGACCCTGCGGGGTTCGAAGCCGAAAAAAGTTAAAAGTAAAACCGTTTTTGGGGGTGGAGTGGCATTTCCAATTATGCGAAACTCCGAACTGTTAATGAAATGTGTCAGAAACAATTTGGCATAATTTTTCACTTAAAGCTAAAAACAATTTATAATTAGAAAAGGCTCTTAGAATGGGAGAACAAGGACAAGAGCGAAATGATGGCACCTGTTGGGCAATCTGCGAAGTCGCAGACTTTTCTCTCGTTTTGCAGTGACAGTAAGCAGGGCGCAAGACAAACAAACAGTGATTGCGGACAGACGGGGACAGACGGACGGGGAAAACAAAATGGCAACTGTCGGAGACGGAAGTACGTCAAGTGTGGCGGAAGTGGGCTGCAGAGAGAAGAAAAAGTTAGCGGGCAGGAAGCGGCCATTGTGTCCCGGCGGAGAAGATAGGGATGGCGGCGGAAATTATTGTTTCTATTTTAGATTTTGCTGACTGTTTGTCGGTTAAACTTTTCCATTTATCAAAGAATCTGCCTCATTCTGGTTTTTCTATGTATTACAAAAGCCTATCTTTTATAACCAATTTAAGTTATTAATTCCATTATCGTTTTGAAGGTTTTCTGAGTACAGCTATAAAATATTTAGTTTTCCCAAAATAGGCAAAAGTTTTATACAGCATTTACTCACATCGATTAAGATTGAACCAGTTTGATTTAAGGAATAAAATCGGTATTTCCCTATAGCGAAATAAAAAAAATATCAATTTACTTGAGATGCCAAAAAGAGTGCAAAATAAAACAAGGGAGAAAAAAAAGGAATAGCCAAATAGCTCGACTATCAGATACCCATTACTCAGTTGTGCGAGGGAGATGGTGATATGAGTGATAATGAATGGTCCAATTTCAAAAATGTTTTTTACATTATGATATACTCTATAAGTAACGGTTATAATTAGTAAAACTCGTTTTAATATTAAATAACTTTTTTTTATATTTAGGTACTCGTTTTTGATCGACCAGTGTAATTAACTTGTTCCACAAGTGTATGAAATTGATTGCCTTGTTCTTGCCGTCATTGAGAACTTGAGAATGTAATTGCATTGTTTGACAAAGGCCCAAACAAAACCGTGTGACCTTTTCACTGTTTACAGTCTTAGCTTGCATTGCCCTCGGGCAGAAGTTCACAAGTTTTTGGCAAAATCCTTTGGCTTGTTGACACTTGAACTGGCTTGACATGGTGCACTGCTCTATCCGACTATTTCGTAATTGAATATTTCGAAACATTTTAAAATGTCGTGCAAATTTTCGATGCCAAGATGCAGAACTTTGTGAAGTGTTTCAATTAAAACTTGCTCAACTTGTTGACATTTATCGAACACAAAGCCATCAGTGTCGCATCCTGTTCTGACTAGGGTTTTTGTCAAGCCCTAAATGCCCTCCTCCCACATCCTGTCCGCCCGCATTTCCTATATCCTGGGGCCTCCTTGGCATGATGGTAGTTCTTAATGTCATTGTTGAAGGGCTCGTAGTTTGCTGGCAGCAGACATCTCAGATCCATTCCTGTGATATTTGCCAAGGAAGTGCATTTGCCAAAGAACATTTCACAGCAATAACCAGAAACAGAGCTCTGCAATCAATGAGTGACATTCATCTACTGACTTTTGGGAGTTGGTGGTTGGCAAAATGGAGTTAGAAGTCATTTGCGTTATACCAAGAGTTTTCTAGTCACAAAAAGTTTGTACCCTTTCTGTTTATTGAATATTGGCAAACTATTATCCTTCGTTTTAATGCAATTTACCATATTATAAAACCATTTATTTAAATTGTCTTTTTAAATTGTGATTTTTTTGCGGCTTTAATTACCATACTATTTATTACTTTTTTGCGCCTGTTTAGAAAGCTTTTTTTTTTCAACTAAAAATAGCTTTACTACTTAAAAAGTCATTGCGTATGCTGAATTGGTATGCATTTTAATGACTGCAAACGGGAAAAAATACATTAATGTTTGTCTCTCATTAACTCAATGGCCTTGTCCATCGATGCATTTAACAGCTGTTGTACGATTAATTGACCCATATCGAGGCGGAGAGAAATTAATTCTCGAATGCTTTTAAACCAGCGACATTGCCCGGATTAATGTCAGGGGCCAAAGTCTGAAATTTATGTGGCACGCAATATGTTTGACAGACTTGCGTCGGCGAATTTCTCGGGGCTCTGAGATTTTGTCATACGCGTGCAAAGTGATTGCGTTTTGTTGCCGGCAAAATACACATAAATAATCCAATTAATTGACAACGGAGCGACACGAGGCATCCTTCTGGGACCCCGCACAAAATGGCTAATTGGTTGCACAGAAAGGTACATAATTGGCAGGGCGGGTAACGGGCCAATCGGACCCGGAGGTTCCGAAGCGAACGGTTTAATTGAATCTGCCCAGAAGGGTTCTCGTTCTTTGTAACAAATCAACCGTCGCCAGGGAACGGAAAGTATAGGGTTTCCCATCTACGGCTAATAAGTAATGAGAGTTTCACAAGTGTATCTAACAGGTTTTAAACTCGAAAATAAATATTTAAGGGTGCTAAGCTTGTGAATAACCACCAAGGCCTAGTATTGACCCACTTAATTGATTGCAACATAGTTTCAAAGCATCAAAAAAAGCTATAAGCCATTTGTGTCATTTAATCAGCAAAAAGTTAATAAACAAAAATCCTCGTTGGTAAGCTTATGTTAATGAAAGCAAACAAAGCTGAAAAATATGGGACCGTTCACTCATTTTTTTCACTTTCAATATTTTCGCTTTAACCAATTTAAATAATTAAAACCAAATAAAGTTCACTTGCCGACTTTAACGGATGAATTGAGGCCCAAAGTCAGCGAACCGATAAATGCGAGTTCATAATTCTTCGCAATGCATTTTGTAATTAAGTGCACAAATATTTATGCCTGGCTTGAGGGATGATATTTTTTCGCATTAAATACATAATTAGCGCTGCTCTTTTGTATAATGTATTTTAATAAACTTTCGACGTATGCCTTAAATAAATATCGGACAATGCATTGACCCCGGCATCCTTGATTAAAATAAATGTACATCTGGCTTTCGAGAGCGCGAGAGCCGTAAAAGCAGATATATATTTGAATGTATTTTATAGGCCACGGCCTGGGCTTTATAGTGTGCTTTTTGCATCAATATAAATATATTCCTGCAGTTTTTTTCGCCCGCCACTCTTATCGCTGTGTGTGAATGGAAAACCCGCACCCGAAATGTGAGAATTCATTCAATTGCAATTGCAAATTTGTGTCACTGAACTGTGAAACAATAAAGATTATCCGGGCCGGAGATGAGAATGCGATGTATGACCGGGTTTCGGTTACCAATTTAAATATCAGTCGGCCTGACTTACCAGGGAAGAAAGGCGAATCGGATTTATCTTCCGTCAAGAGAAGGTCTCAGGATTTCTTGAGGCTAATGAGAATGATAATAACCTTCGTTCGGGTGAAAAGTACAAGGAATTGTGGTGTTCAAAAAATATGCAACACAAAATTTGTTGTGAAATCCCCTCCCACAACCAAATCCAAATCCAACTGATACAAATAAAACAAATACGTGTATATTTAATGCCGGACCTAAATTAATCGCAAACGAAAAAGCCACAAGAATCTGGTTTCACAGACGAGTGCCTGGGCATCCGATGACATTGTCTGATTAAGAGTGGATGCAAGTGACCCGGCTGATTGGAAAGTTCTTTGTGCTTTCTGGGCCATTGTTTGCCTTAACCTGGGCTGAGGTCCGCACTAGGATTGGCTTTCGAGCCGTTGCGATTGGCCAAGTTGTGTCTGGATTGGCTATTTGCATGGCACTCAACTACTTTGCAGATATGCTCGCCCTCTGTCTATATGTCGGCATATTTAATTAGCAGCAGTCTCACAAAATTGCCCGACAGCTGACAAATTATGCCAGTGTGGCTGCGTCTGTCCCTGTGTCCTCGTGTCCTGACAGGACGACAGGAGTCGGCCACTAATGCACTCGGCCTAAATAATTTAGCATTCATTGTCTCTTTCCAGCGATGGCGCTCAGCTTGTGTGTTTTCAACGAGTTTTCAGTGCGTAAATAAAACAGGGCCGCTCTGCTCGGCTGCTTAGTTTGCACATTGCCACTCGCATCACACACTGCGTATACGCAATTTGCATTGCATTCGAGAATGCCCCAGGCACTTTCAACACCGCAACACACAGGCGCACACAGCTGTTGTCTATTAAACGTCAATTCCAATTTGTATCTGGCTTAAAAATTGCAATTGCAAAACCTTGCCAATCACTGCCCCCAAAAATCCCTAAATACTACAAATATTTTACTATTTCCACTCTCCACTTGCTCATTTCATTTGATTTTGGGAAAATGAAAGGACCCAAAAGTCCCACGTCCCACATGGCCAGCATTCGATTTCCCAAGTGTCATTATTTAATTATAACTTAAGCCGCAGTTCAGCTGACATGAAATTCCGCTCAATTGCATTTCCCGAAAATAAACACCTGTCATTCGGGTGAGTGGATGGAAGGGGCAGGGGAAGGGGGATGGGAAAGTGCAGCCCTTCTGCAGGCAAGGAAAGCGAATTATTTCCAGCAAGCGACAAGCTTGTTGAATTTAATCAAAATGCAAACTTACTTGTAAAGTAAATACTTGTCTTTTTCCGGTGCGACAGGAAAATGTCTGCGATTGCATGTGTATGTGTTTAATTTATTTAATTTCGTCCGTATGAACTGCAATCCAATAATGTTGTCGGCAGGTGCAAATTGAATTTATTTAATTGTCGTTATGGCCGGGCTAAGTTGGTTCTCAAGAAAATTTATGGCACTTTCCAGTTAGACAAAGGAATTTTGAAATGATTTATTTCGAACATGAACTCGTAAATAAAATCATATAAAAGTCCCTAAATTCTCTTTATTTGTTCAATCAAGCAAATATTCATTTTCAATATATTTAGTTGTCAGCTTCATAAGCTCAAACTGCCTGGTAATAAGTTTGATCTGCAATTAAATAATAAGATTTTTTCTTAAGTAGTAGCTTGGTTTTTTGGATCTTCAAGAACCAACCTGTTTTTCTTTTAAATTCGGCGCAGTTGCCATCTGAAATCGAAGAATTTTATAAGGGGTCTCTACGTTTGTTAGCATACTTACCTCGTTCAGTGTTTTATAAGGCTGGCATTTTAAGCATATGATAATATCTATTTCTTCCTGCCTGTATTTCACCACTGCATTCTGAAGGCTTGCAAAAAACTTTTTTGTTATTCCGTTGACGGGAACTTTTATTTGAAAAGAGTTTAGCTTGCGACAGTTCTTGAGAAGCGGTTCCAGGCACTTCGGAAAGTATACATCCTTGGGATGGTGCTCCGATAAAATTACCAAATCTTCCAGATCTTTCAGCTCAGCGAGGGGCAGGATGTAAATAAATTTTTGAAGCCCACATGTAATTTTCCTCAAACATCTTAGGGTGGCCAAAGCCTCAACCCCGGACTTATTAAGGGAACCGTCTTTGGGCATAGCAAATATTGAGTATGGTGCACCTATATATATCTCTTGCATGGTTTTTAGGTTAATTGTAGATAAGTTGAGGAAAAGATGAGGGGTTGGCATATTTGCAAGCAGAACTTTAAAGGAGCGCACATTTTTTACCCATGGAAGTGGAAACTCTTCATGTACATAGTCCCTGCTGTAAAACATTTTAAGTTCCCTTGTTTGAGGTTGCAGGGAAATTTCACAATCGGAAGCCTTGATCAGCATACCGAGCTCCAAAAATCGCAACAATTGCGATTCCATTGACACGAGCATTTCGTTAGACAGTCCAATGGTCTTAAGGTTTTCCAGTTTTACGAAAGGTTCAAAATTAACATACCGATATATTTCCGCATCCCTTGTCCAAATACCTAGGTGTCCCCTGACTGATAGAAACATTTTTGCATCGAAACTTGAGATGGTGACTTGTTTGCTTAGTATTTCAGCAATATCGTCCGTAACTAGGTGACCCCTATTCAGTATGCTCAATCGGTTGAGTGTCGGGTGCCTTACAAAGTGCCTAATGCTTTTGGGATCGCAAAAACCGCACTCCAACATTCTCAGACCTTTGATTTTCCCAATGACCTCAGCCATTTCGTCATCAATATCGAACTTTAGGCATAGTCGGATTAATTTCGATTTTTTCTTTTCGCTGAAAGCTCTGAGAAGCTGAAGGACGGGAATGGATTGTTCCAAATTTGAGACTCCTTCGATTAGAGACTCGTATTCGGGATCCATTCTGGAACGTTTCGATGTGAAATCCGCTTCCGCATCCATTTGCTGCGGCTTGTGCGAACGTTTCGATGTTAACTCCTCATCTATTTCCATTTCCTCCTCATCGGGCAACAGAAAATGAAATTCCTCTGGAACTGGCGGCTTTTCGATTTCCAAATGCTGTAGCTTTTGCAAAAGTGCTAGCCCAACGTAGCCATTATCCCATACATTATCATTTAGCTGAAATTTCAATTGCTTTAAGTTGGGACAATGACGAACGATTTGAGTGAGCTTTCCTTGGTCGCTGAACCGATTTACATTCACTTCCAAGGAAACCAGTGAGGGATTATTACAGCAGAATTCCACTAAGTCGATCACCTCAAAAGAAGCTGTTATGCTCAGTTTGGAAATATTTCGAAATTGTCCGAGACCGCTTATTTGATGATCTGCAATTTATATAATACTTTTTAATTGGGAACTAATTTTCGATAAGTGAGAATCCATTTGCCTGCTATATCCACAATGATCTCCTTGCATTTTGGCATTCTCTCCGGATCCAGAATTATTCGCTTAGCTTTTCCCTGCAGCCCCTTTATTATTTCATCGAATACGCTCTCGTGTTCCCGGATATACTTCTCAGTTTTATAGCTCAGTATGACGGTTTTGAGAAGGGGATTCCCCATCATCGCCTTAATATAAATGTCCATGTACTGGTCTCTCTTTTTCTGCGATGCTCTCTTTAGACTTTCGTGAATCTCAATAAACTGGACAGTCCACTTTTTGAGGGGCATCACATGCAGCAGATCGATTTCCAAGCGGTCGTACATTTCTCTCGACCAGTCCCAAACGACTCGTCGCAATATCTTGCAGGTGACCGCCAGATTAAAGATATCAGCATACTTGATGGCGTACATAGATTCATTGGCGTTTTGCATTTCGCAGTCTGCCTTTATAATGTCGAGAATGCGAAACAGATCGTAGTGAGTAATGTCTGTTATAGTCTTTGGAGTCTCCATACTACTTATATTTTTCACCGGTGCCAATAGATCGCGAGAAGCACGTTCGATCCGCGCTGTATTGGACAATGCACTGGTTGTTTAGCTTAGAGGGGATTATACTGGAACGGCATTATATGCTTACCCCATATGTTAAGGGTATGTTCGGCTTGCCAATGAGTCATTTGACTTTTTAAGTTATAGCTGCTGTTATACATTTGTTTATTAAGTCCACCTTTGATTTTTAATTGTTTTAAAATAAAATAAATAAATTTCTTATTATTTTAAATAAACCTGGGGTCTAGAGTATGAAAAACACCAGACAGGGTATTGATTTTGTCGAGCATTCATGACTGAATACATATTCATTTTATCACCTCGCTGATAGCCTCACCAAACAAAAAAGCTCCTCCAACTGTCGTATATAAATATGTATACACATTTGGGTGGACCTAAATCAGATTTTTAATAACTACTTTTTTTTTATTTTATTTTATTTATTTAAAATGATTATTTAAACAGTGTTCATTTCAAAGTCCCTCCCATAATTCAATTACTGGCCTTTGATCTTAATTACAATATATCGATTATTTCAAAATTATACAAATTTTGAAGCATATTTAAACGTACAACACAGTTTTCGATTTACGTATAAACTTATACTTATACTTATGCAACTTTCGCACAATTTCGCTTGCAAAAGCTTCTGTTTGCAGTTTTTTCCAATATTTTTAGTTAATAATCAATATTTTTCTTATCTTGCAAATTGGTAATCGAGGCAATAAACCAAAATAATTATGACTTGAAATCTAAAAGTTGTGATTGCTTGGTGGTAATGCAGTGCCCGTTATGCTGATGAACCCGCGGACATCATCATTTAAAAGTTGTGGCCATCGCTGGGATTTATGATCTGCGCGGCGTCTTTTGAATGAAAACTTAAAGCGCAGTTAAAGTTTGTTTAAAGTAGTTGCCGCGGCCAAGTGAAACTGGCAGCTGCACTTAATTTGCAGTCAGCTCATTTGTTTTGCCCACCACCCCCTCCACCCAAAAACCTTACCCACCGCAAGTCTCAGGGAGCGTGCATTTTTCTCTGCCTTTTCCCCACTTTTTTATGCCACTTTTCTCGTACTCCCTACATCTCTATCTTATGGTACGCGGTTAGGAGGGAATATGGAACAAAACGAAAAAAAAGAAATGGAGAAACTTTAGAAGCCGTTACTCCTTGTTGTCCCAACCCCCCGACAAATCCTTACGTACCCCGTAGTGTTGTGGTGGGTGCGTGTAATCTACTCAAGGCAAATAAATTTTTAATGCTGACTAATGTAGAAAATGTGAGCAGAAATTTACCTGGAAAACTATAGAAGAGACCGTGGCATCAGCTTTCGCATTTTTACTTCATCCAGCCGGCTTTATGCCAGCATCCAGGCGTTTAGTCCTTCGTCCTGCGCTGCAGCAATTTGCAAAACGGGACATTGCAAATTGAAAACGGAGCCCGTCGCCTGCATATTTACTTGGGGCTGAGAAATCATTTTTAAAACTTTGTCTTAAGTTGCAGTTCATTTGTTAACCTGACAGTTTAAAAGGGCTTTAACAAAAACACGTTGACCTAATTGCAAATGTACAAACTTGTCAGCATTTGGAGGCATCGATTGCACAAGCAATTATGAAAAGCAACAAAAAGCGCAACAAATTGGCGAAAATAGTGAGTCATTAAAAATAATTTAAAACAAACATCACAGAAAAGTTTTACACCAAAAAACTTGAGGACATTTTAAAAGCGAAAATAGCCGAGACAATGGCGCGGCAAACGGGGGTGGGAGTGTAGCTGAAAATTGCAAGGCAGCAGCAGTCACAGCAACAAATTGGCAAAATTCATAACGAGGAAAACTGAAACATGGACGTAGCAAAGGGAAAATTTAAAAAAAATACAAATAAAATTCCTTAATAAATTTTAAAAAATATGATTTTTATACAAATTGTATAAAATAAGCGAATATTAATAAACCCTACTATCTATTAATTTTGTAATTTCTGTTTCGTGTTTAATATTTTATTTTAAACTAAATAATTTTTCATATTTGTACGCTATAAAGTATTTAAGATAAAATTAAGCTAGATTATTTGGAATATTTTGGACTACGCCCGTGATCAGAAAGGGCCAGACATGCGCCACGAATGGCTCGAAACAGTAGCAAGTGACAACGAGCTAGGGACGCCCAAAGGATGCTGGTGCTGCTCCTTTCGCAGTTGTTTCTGCTTGCCGTTGTTTTAGTTCGTAATGAAAGCGACTGATGTCCAGGGGCGGAGGTGAGGGGGTTTTCGGAAGCTGGCCAAACATTAACGAGCATCAGCGAAAAACTTGCAAGTTGCAACTTGCAGACGCCTGCGACTGAATCAAGTTCTACTTCTGCAGGAAGGGGCAGCATTGCATTGTTTGCAAAATGCTTCGAGTAAATTATGCAGAATTGCTGCAGAACAGAACTGAATAGCCAAAGCCGAAGCAAAAGTTAAGCGCCCAGCAAAATGGAATTTACATTGCCTTTCACAACTTGCTCGCCGATGTCTTTGTTGCCATTGTGTGTTGTTTTGTATTTGCCTCGGTTTTTAATAAACTTAATAACTTTGCAATTTGTTGCTGCAATCAGCGCGCGAGCCAGCTGTTCCCATCATGCAAATGGCCCAAAAGGCTCGGACACTCTTCAGAGATGGCCACAAGGCACCGCATGGCGTATACTTAATTTTTAGTCGCATTATGCAGGCAGCACGTGCCAATTAATAGAATAAATTCCTCAGCAAACTCATAAATTGAGAGAGGACCAAAGTTTTCAATTCCTTTTAATTCAACGAAAAGGTTCTCGAAGTCCCCAAATATTATCTCTGCGGCCAACTTGGACACCGGGCTCTTTAAAAATGCATGTCCAGTCCCATATCAACCGCCGAATCCTGGATCGATCCTTCAGAAGAGTCCCTGCGTCGCAGGAGCACGAAGCAGATGTTGTTGTCCGGGGCGGGTCATTGAATAAACAAACATCTGTGGCAAGTGAGGTTAGGACACAAATTGAATTTGCGCCCTAAAAGAGCATAACAAATAGACGACACGCATACGCCGTGTGGTACGCAAAGCCACAAAACCCACATGCATGTCAGTGGATAACCAAGACACCGGACAGCGCAAAAAATCACTCACCCGCCCACTCATCCAATCGCTCACCTGTAGTGATGGGAAAACGAACAGGCAGTCTCGTACCTTTTAATACACTTGGGTAGATATTTGCAGTTATTTTCTTAAAGATTTATTAAAATATTTTTGTTTAATAAATTGGTTTGTTTTAAACAAAAAAATTTAAATAAATGAGGAGGAATGCGAATTTTTTTTAAAACGTTTTAAAATTATTTATAACATTTTTAAAAGTTTGCTATAAAAATTCTACAGTCGTCTCATCCACAGTACTATCCCGCATCGAATTTTATTTTTTAAAATATACATTTGATGTTTATGGTTAATCTTAGTTTTTCGAAAAAAAGCTCCTAAAAAAGAGTACTATAAAAATTATGCTAACTTTTCCGAATTGAGTTTTATTTTTTTAAATATACGTTTGATTTTTAGGGTAAAACTTAGTTTTGTAAAAAACTCCTAAAAAAGAGTACACCCTTTACACATCACTCGCTCACCTGACGACCACGTTCAGTGAGCCATGACGCTTAGATATTTTTGGCATGCGTGGCGAGTGACAGCGAATGGCAAAAACAGGTCCGCAGCCTGGACGCAGCTGCTGTTGGCCAAATCCCGACTCAGACGCTCCCCACATGGCTACATGGCTACATCATCATCATCATCGCTACAGCGATGGCGTCTGGATAATGGCTGCCCGGAGATGACAGTTAACAGTTGCCCAGCTGGGCAGGTAAATAAATCAAACAAAAATGGCGACTTTGGGCTACGTGACTGGCGAGCAGAAGTAGCCGGGAAAAGATATGGACGACAAAAGTCACGGCGGCTCAATAGCTTGACTGATTATCGTCCAGCTGCCGTGAGTCGGGTCTATATACTCCACTAGCAGTGCCTCCAGGTTGGATTTGGGTGGCCGAAACTGTCGCCGAGATGTGCGTGACACAAATTGCGCGCCAGACACAGAAACAGAACCTCTGACACGCAGCCAGTGTGCTGACAAATGCTTCCTGTAAGATGTCTGTCGACGTCCATCATCGGACTCAATAGAGGAGGCCAGCGGGCGAACAGCTGGCCAATAGCAACAGTTAAGTCGAATTTGACACATGGAACTCAGTTCGTTTGGCTGGAATCAATAATGTCTGGTGGAGGGTCCTTAGAAAGGCAGGAAATGTCAAGCGACAGACTGATACGGTCCGACTGAAAAAGAGAATAATTTGTCATGTGAAAAAGTTTTACGGCTCTAGGAATGCTTACAGGTATTTTCTCTTAGAAGAATAATTAAGTTTACTAAATATCAAATATTACTGCAACAAATATTTAATAAAAACTGAACGAAGTTCCTAACTTTGTATTGAATATTACTAATTTATTAAGTAAGAAATAGATTAGGTAATTTTTAAATCTCAGAATAAATATTTGAAAATATTTTAATCACACCCAAAAAAACAATAGTCACAGAAACGAAACTATTGTTACATGAATTCTACACTATTGAGTGTAAAATTTTGCATTAATAAGATGAGTATTCAATTTATACTTTTAAAAGTCTTTTCGGTATAGAAATGAAACTACAAAATATTAAAATTATAATATTTCATCTAAAATTAATTCTACTGAGTGCACATTATTTGTATTTTTTGGACTCATACTTCGAGACTTTCTAACCAAACCATTCTTTTTTTATCTCCACGCCTGAAAAGGCAATAAAATCACTTATAGTTATACCCGTTACTCGTAGAGTAAAAGGGTATATTGTATTCGTGCAAAAGTATGTAACAGGTAGAAGGAAGCGTTTCCGACCCCATAAAGTATATATATTCTTGATCAGGATCACTAGCCGAGTCGATCA